CAAATTTTTGATATTACCTTTAAACTTAAACATATAAATTACAATTTTTCAACACCTCTATTTAATTCACCACCAGTTTTTTTGTTATATTTTAATTTTCAAAAAAAAATGTCGTTAACAAGAAAAATATATAAAATACTATCAATAAAAAATTGGTAATAATCCGTTTTATTTTCAATTATAAATTTACAACTAAAAATATTAATATTGAATTTTTTGTAACAATTATAACTTAAGGACCATTTGAGGTCATACATATAAAAATAACAAATCTATTCTGTAACCAAACCAAAACTTAACTAATTTAGAACAGTGTTACCGAAACTACTATAACAATAGATATCAAGTACGTTTCTATCATCATTGTGCTGACACCCACAACTCTGTGTCTCGTCACCCATCGAAAACACAACAACAGTAGTAACGTTTAGACCATTATAAGTATACTTTTTTTTTACAATATAATAAAAAGTGACTGAAATAAAAAACTTTAATCTTGTAAGACTATTTCTTTATTATTTAACAGAATTAATTGTGTTTATTTATCAATGTAATTTTATCACCACTGTTTGAGTATTGGCATCGGGTGAAAGTGATAACAGCGAAAAAAAGAGAGATTGTTCAACCACATGAAAGCCAAACAATATATCTGTGTGAATAAGTTTGATGCTACTACTACTAATTACGTCTCTCTTGATGCTGAATTAAAAAGGTCACGTGGTCGTATCTGTTTCATATTTACGAAGCAATCTCTTAAAATGGAGTAAATAAAAGCTATGAACGAACGATTTGGGTAGTTAAAGGTGGTGAATGAAAAAAGCCAAACCGTGGATAAAAATAACAATTAAAAAAACGATTTTTTGTTAAATTATTTATATGGAGTATGATGTTTGTTTTTATTATGTGTATTTTAATTTGTTTATTTTTTCAATGTCATGTCTCATTAAATTTATTTAATAAGTAGTATAATAAATTTAATATAATATGCAAATGAATTTTTTTTAATTATATATATATAACAAAAGAGTTAAAAAAAAAAAATAGTACCTTATAATATTTTTTATATCTAATAGTAGAACGAACTCGGAATCATCACATTTCTAAACGGACTCTTAACGTATCCTTTTTTAGTGTGGATGAAAGATTATACAATGTATCAGTACCAATGCACTACTTAAAACTATTATGACATCTGTCATGAATAATGTAGGTGATGATCAGTAATTCCGAATTATAAATAAATTTGCCAAGAGTGTACTTTTACATAATAAATAAACAGATTGAAATAAAATTAGATCGGGTAAATAGCTAAAACTGAATGTTCGTCATTATTAACTGAATAATATATTAAATAAAAAGTTTGAATAGTTTGGGAATTTCAACAGAAATATTAAAAAAAATTTTAGATTGAATTTCCTTGAATTTTACAACGCTTATTATATATCTTATAAACTTTGAACAACATAATTCAATATAATTGTTAAGGTTTTGACAATTTTCAAAAATGAGTATTTGCGTTATGAGAAATACAAACATTTGAATGACTAGTTTTTATTATTTTCGTACGCATTTCCAAAAAAAAAAAAAATGTCTAAGATATTTCTAGAATATAAAATTCTGCGCTAACACTCTTAATGTCCATAAACCAATCATCGTCAAACATTATATACTTTCAACTGTTGCTGTACAATATTTTTTCTAATTTAGTTTAACAAACCATTGCTGTGAATTTATCTTTCGGCAAAAAGTTTATGATGCACGTAGAAACAGAGACACAAAATTAACGATGTCTTCGAAGGGAATGTGAACAAAACAAAAGAAATAAAATGGTGGACTGCAGTCATTACAACAGTCAGTGACGTTATGTGTTTAGTGTGCGTTAAACGTAATAATTCAGTTTTGACCTACATAGCAGCGATCAGTTGTGGTGGCATTTTGGGATTTGGTGGGTCTTTTTCCTCTTCCATCACCAAGTGCTTATTCACTTGTACTAGTTGGTAACTATAAGTGTTGCACACTCAAGCGAGTAATAAAAACATTTTTTCCGCTTTGTTTTTAAAACTACACGAGTTGTATGACATATGTTCTAGTGGAGTAAAGTTCTAATTTTTTTGGTTGACAATTCACAGTGTTTAAATGATTTTAAGTAACAAAAATATATCCCATAAACATAAATATCCCAATATTTCCTCACAATATTCTGCTACATTACTATACATGAAATAATGTTTTAAATCTCCATAAAAATTGATCTTTTTTTTAAGAAAGAAAATTATACATATATTTGTTTAATTTTTTCTTATCTTATGAACTGATATCATAAAGTATAATATGAAATAAGTGATGTTTGAGTAGTTACGGAAGCAAAATATGTTAAGATCTGATATGATTATGATTAATCAGCTTTCATAGAATATCATTAAACTAGAAGACATAATAAGTTAAAGTTGGGTTATAACATTAACTGTCACTGCCAAAAATGAAAGTAAATTGAGTAAACAAAATTAAGAATCGAAATTCACGTTTTATGTTACTTAAATAACATGAATAAACGTATTTCAAAAAAGTTATAATTTATATAATTTTTTTAACACTTTATAAACCAATGGTGGTCTACTCAAAAAGAGCACATTTTTTAACCTTTGATACTCAGAGATGGTTGTTCGTCACCGGAGAGAGAAATGGCAACTCCAATTACTCGCTAAGCAAAGTGATCGAGTTTCGAACCCGAAAATAAATATAATAAATATTTTCAAATGTTTCCATATGTTCACTTGATCCTTACCGTTTCGAACTCGTGCCATAGTTTACTCGGAGTGATAGTTACGGGTCAAAAGTTATAAATATACTGTCGGCCTGGTTTGTTTTCTGTTTCTTTTTATACCGGTAATCAGCTGATATTTGATAACGTCAATATGATTATTTTTTATCGCAGTTGATTACAGTTGATTTCTTGTTATGGATATAGTTTTTGCCTGTGTTTAGTTTTTGTTTTCAACATACTTAAATTGTTATTCTTTTCAGCACCAACAATTTCAAATATGTCGAATATTCTTTTTACAAATGTTTTGTTGTTTTCTTTATTATTGGGTGTTATTTTTTCTTGGTATGTAATAGGTAACCTAGTCTTGATAATTTATCTTCTCCGTCTGGACACGATAACAGGGCAATAACATGATATCTCATTGTAACAGAGATATATTATCAAAAAGATCTTAGAACCGAAATCATTTCAGTTTCTAGAACTGGTATCAACGTTATAATAACAAACAGAAAAAAAGCTAGGCCAGGTAACAGTATAGTTACAACTTGTAACTATAGTTACGAAGATGGACTCTGAAACGAGTCTGAAACTTCAATATTCAACTTAATACATGAATACATCTGAAAATATTTGAAATAATACAGTGATCCATGAAAACTTTAACACATAAATAAATACTCTAATTTGAACTAATTTTAAAATGATAATGAATAAATTATTAGATGTTTAATTCATATATATATATATATTAGTGCACAAATTTGAAAATAATAGGGATGAATAATTTATATTTAAAAAAAATAATTATTAAATATTGCCCTCAAAGAACTTTTCAACATTTAATGCTTTACCACGAATAATTAAAAACAATTGTTTTTGATTTTTTACAATAGAACATTTGTTTCTACTCGAGTAACAATTCAATGCGAATTAAACCAAGCTCAATAATTATCACGGAAAAATGATTTTGAAATCAAACATTTTACACGAATGAATGTGTGCAGCAATAAAAGTATTTTTTATTATTCATTATTTAATCAAAGTTATAAAAAACAAAAGAGTAATTTTATTTTCCCAGAAGTGTTGGACTGAAATATAATTAAAATACACGAATTTAAGTACTTGTTTAGTATAAACAAACTTTAATAGAGGGTTGAATGTAACTGTCGTGACATAAATACATTTTTTGTGTTAAGTTATTCAGAATGTATTAAAAATTAATGTCACAAACACAATCAACTTAAGAAGTGAATTGCTTTAGAGAAGTATTTTCAACAAAACAGATAATAGTTTATTGACTAATTCGTAGATTTTTCAAAACTCGACACAAAATGTAATTTTGTAAAATGTGTAAACGGCAATAATCACGACAATCAAATATTCTTATGAAAACTTTTCGTGAATACATTCAAATATTAACTCAGATAACTCCCATCACGTGTATTGGTATTTATTTACGAGTATACTTATTGTACCGTGGAAAATTGTGTGTCAGGTCATATTAATATTTTAGGTAGTTGTGGGCCACAACGTCCAAACTTTACATTGTTTGAGAAAACACTACGACGCAACGCGAATGTATTGTTCTCAGTCGAATATTTCACGGAAAATTATAATACAACAAAGTAGAGGGTTCATGCTCACTGCACTTCCCTCCTAGATTGTTCAAATGTTACTGCTCGTGGTTTAATTAAAATCACCCTCAAAAGCCAAGATTAAATGGTGCTCCGCGTGTTCATAATGAATTTTACATAATAACACTATTGTTCGTTTAAAAGACCAGTAAGATAACGATTACAGTTGATGGCGACGGGCACGACAACGTTTTTCCGAAAACGAAGTACTCGAGAAATCAATTCGTCGGCATCGCTTTAGTAATCAAAGTAAAACAAAACATTTTTAAACCGATCCCTTCGCGGGTACATAGGAATATTAACGTTTTTGTTACGCTCATGAATATTAAAATGAACGGCGTATTCTGATAACGTCCAGTCGACATTTAATAATTGGCTTTTACTTAGTTTAACTTATAAATTTATAGGTCAGCGAATAATAATATAATATCGCTCGGCAATGAACCCCGAGAAAATGTATTTTCTTCTAGAAAAAGCATTCACCCAAAAGTCGTCCACACGGTCGAAAAGAACTTTTGATTTGAATTACAACCGTCGCGATTCGCGCGTGATATCTTATGACAATAATAATTAACGAGAGTCTCGCGTGTAATACTACTTACGTTGTGAACTCGATCTTCTGATGATGTTCTCCAGAAACGTGTTTTGAGGGGCGACCAGACCTCGTCGGCCCCCTGGCATAATGGGCGCACCTTTGTTACCCAGTAGGAGGCCGTTAGCTTGCGTTTTTCGTCGATATTATTATCACTCCGGTCATAATAAAATTGATTTCTAAACACTTGTTGATTATTTACAATCACATCGCGGAGTGACCCGGACTACACATTATTTACAAAAAAATAAATTATAAAACAAAAACCAAACCGATTCAACCGTATGGAAACGTTTTTAAAAACATGACGGCACTTAATTCAATTATTGGCTTTCTGTGTGGGTGTGTAATATTGTCTAACTGCAGTTTTTGTCAGCCGCAATCCAAGTGCTCGCGTTTGTGTTTCTTCATAATCGACGAGTCCGGATGTCAAGTGGCAACACGGCACGGCTATGGGCAGCGCACACGTTCATCGGGTGCCTGTGACCCTGTTCGTTGACGACACCGGACGACGACGGAAGCGACGAACGGCGTTTCATCTTTTTCCCAACACCTGTAGGCAAACGTTCCAATAACCTCCGTCGATGGCACGTTGGTACATGTGACGGTTATGAAATCTGAGGCGATGCCGCCCGTCCGTTTTGGGTGTCAGCATCGAGTACGGCGATAATTATAACTTCTATCAGTTGCGCGTTCTGATCTGAAAAAATAAAAAAAAACAGCTGTCAAATGGCGTATTCTCGCGTCGGAGAAAAAATTATCATATTTATCCGGTAATTGTTAAAGGTAATACGAGCGTAACTCTAGGCAAATGAATATATTTATATATATTACACGAATTTCCAGTGGATTATAACAATTGTGACTAATAACTTAGTTATGATCAATGTAAATGTCCATCGCTTCAGGAAAATACACTTTAATCGTGATGCTAATTTTATTTATTTTTCACTCAATATTATATTTAAATAATATATTATCCATGCTTTAGTGATCGAAAATAAAAACTATAAATTTTGTGTTTTCAAATATCACAAACCGTTTTAATACAAAACGATTTGCAACTATAAGATGTTAATAATAAAAACATGTTGTTTTCTATTACTACTGTTTTTTAGAGTATTAGCTAAACGTGAATTTTTCCATTTGGTATTTTATTATTGTGATAAATATTAGCATCTAGTTAATCGGAGTCTTTTCAATACTGTTTGATTGTATCAATTTTATTTCATCATTGTAAGTCTTATTGCATTGTGGACCAAAAAAATTAAATAATAGCTATTGAACGCTTTTGTCGGTACCGTATTCGGTGTATTTTTTTAGATTATTTTCATGTTAAAAAAGGAATGTAAGAAAACAATCTTTTACATTCAAAAGATTGTAATAAGTTCTTACGAAAGAAAATAAAATTAAAGCTACATTTATTTTGAACACTATTTAAAAAAAAAAAAGAACAATGCCAATACTGATATTATTTAAAAATTTCAGTCTTTTGAAAATCAATGACGTAAGTTTGAATAAACATAATTATTTTATTTTGAAAAATCTGAATAATTTTAAGTAGATAATTACTAACGATTTTAGCTTTCTTCTCAAATATCGCTGGCTGTGAATATTTCAAGGAACAGCCTACAAACACGTAGGCAATTTTTTATTTAAGGGAGGGCTCGGAATCCCATTATATCCTTCCTGAATACGTGCCTAAAAAAGTAAACTCTGACGAATTTTCTTGAAATTTTATATTTTTTACCTTCTTTTTCATGTTGTTACTGTTTTTCGTGTTTTAAATCAATTTCTATAATTGTCAATAGTTATAAAAAGTGTACTGCTAATGATCAGAAGAAAAGGGATAAATGTATCCTCATTTTTTCAATAAATAATGATTCTTTCATAAAAATGTACAAATTTTATTTATTTTTGAGCACCTTTCGTTCATAACTTTCGAATGTTATGAAATGTTAATGTTAATTGACTATGGAAAGTATAAAGCATCAATAAACTCTACACCACTCCTCGCCTTTTCAAAACATATAATTGTTAATATTATATACTACAAAACTAATTATCTAACAGACAACATTTTATGTAATCCGTTTCACATTTAATAGTAAAATAATAATAATTGTTTCTTATTTAAATTTTGAAAATTACCCCTAACATCTATCCTTAGAAATAATTTTTATCTAATTAATTTAATATTAACTATGGCACGAAAAATAAATACATTTTTAGTTTGTAGATTTTTATAAAAAATCTTTATTTCTATTATTAATTTTGTATAAATAGAAAAAAATTTAAATTAATCACAAGTTTTTAGATTATAGTGTGAATCTAAATTTGGATGAGGTCCAATATCTGCTGTGATTTAATTTCTGGATATTCATTAAATCGATTCCAACTTATAAGAATATCAGAGGCGAAAAATGTGTACAACACTGGCGAGTAAATATTTCGCTCCAAAATATGAAAGTTATAAGCAAATACTATCAAATATTGTGACAGTTTTTTCATTGACCAGTTTAAAGGTTCACTCTCCCTAAACTTTTCCATGTAAAGAAACTGACAAATTTAAATATTTCTAAATACACTAATATAACTGAAATTTGTTAAAAAAAAACCCGTTATACTAAATAATATACCATTACTATCAAAATCTTTATATCTTTATTTTGTATTTTTTTCAAATTATTAGTTATTTTTTTCCCAGTGTTATCGAATAATCTTTGTAGTTTATGCTTGACCAATAAAAATAAAATTAACATTTACTACTATTAAAATTTGAATTTTATGTAACAATTGTAACAAACAAGATTTCAGTATACGTTTTGACAGTCTCATAGAAACGATACACAAGTGTTGCAAACAAAATTGCTTTTATTCACCATATGCAATATGAAATGTTTTATTATTTTCATTACTTATTTGAATCTATATTCAAACATCCTTCATTTACTTAGATGCTTTTATCATAATACCCTAAAGCTATTTACACACTTTTCAGAAATGTAAATGGAGATTATTCGTCCGGCAATTCAATCACAATGTAAAAATCCCCGCAGGGAATTTTTTTAAATTAAAATTTCTAATAATATTCCACTGAATCGCTTTTAACGATAACGTGTAAAAATATATCGCCGAATTTTCCTTTAACAAAGCCTTCAAGCTTTAATGTACTGTTTTTATAAATAAATTTAATTCATACAAGCGTTATAATAATAAATCAAAATATTTTTCACTACAAAACAATATTCAGCCATTTTCTTCAATTCCATTTGAATGACGTTTAAAGTATATCTGTCATATCAATATTTATATATTGTATACATTTGCACTTGTTTATTATTTATTTTACTACTTATAATTTTGGAAATAAGACAACTTATTCCCCTTTTACATGCAACCGCCAAATATCAATTTGTTCTAGTGTTCACTATGCAAAGTTACCACTACACAAAGATGATTCATTAACTATTAAATTAAACAAAAAATGATTTTTTTAAAATTTTTTTAGTTCGCCAATTTATGAATTCATCAATCATCAAGTATTTTTTATGTTAATCCCTTATGAGGAAGTCAACTTAGTTTTTTTCAAATAGCGACGCTAATAATTAACCAGTTTATTTCATAAATAATAATCAAATTTAAAAAAAAGTCTGATCGATAACAATTTTTAAACAAATATTCCGTTAGTTATTTACATTTTTAAACTTGGGCGGGAGGAAAAGTGCGAAAAAATATCTCGTGGTAGTAAAAATAGTCGTTGTTTTGTTCTTCTGAAAAATTACTAAATTGATCAATGAGCTTATAGAAAATAACCACGGATGTATATTTATTATAATATTTAAATCAATCTTTTTTATTATTTAAAGTTAAAATTATATTTTTTTTTTGAAATCATTAAAATTATAATTTTTTTCTTTAATACTCACTTTCATTTTTTTCAAAATTCAATTTGTCAAATATTTTAAAACAAAAATAATTATACTAAAAACGTACAAAATGATCGTTCTTTCCTTAAGTTTTTTTTTTTGTATCTTTCATGCAAACTCCTTTCGTTTGTCCAGAGGCCACTAGAAGTTCTTTAAATAAGATTAATATGGAGAATAAAATCTACTACCAAGTTTTCTCTGTTCATGAAAACCATTGGCAATATATTTATTATTAGATATACGTGATGTATTGGTTCGCCTTATACACATACTATGCACCAAACCGAATCCTATCATTGTAGTTGTTATCACTATTTATATATTTCATAATTTGATTCTTAGATAAAACAATGTTATTTAGAACGTAGTATTAAACAATTAAGAATATTTATTCAAGTATTCGCCTATTATTGCTGTACTATCGTTGTCATTTTTAATGTACCTACTGATTTTTAAGATATTTATAAAAACTATTTTTAGGAATATCATAAAATAATTGGACATTTTTCAAACATCAGCATGTTAAACTACAGGTGCAAATACACAATTTATAGATCATCCTGTTAAGTTGACAATCCGAAAAATGGTCTGTATTTTTATATTAGTTTTCTCGAATAAAGAAAATTACACTCAACAAAATTTTGATTTTAACAACCCTTGGCACTTAACTACTTTTATGTTTTACTCAAACTATATGTCAACTTAAAAACAATAAAAATGATTTATATTTTTACAGTTATATTCATTAAGTGTGGCAGTATTTTAAGGTTACATTGGTTCACTATACATCAACATTTTGAAACTTTCCAAATACCATGTTGAAATATCGAAAATTAATGCAATGTATTTATGTTATCACATGAATAATAATTACCCAAAAGGGTACTTTGCATCAGACCCCGTTTGGGATATACATTTATGTAAAACGCAATATTGATTGTGATTAACGATCACTAACCATCACTATGATATCCAATCAATCTTTCTACTTAACTATGACCTATTTCAGCCAGATGAGATTGGGATTGTCCGGAATCGCCACTACAGAATATCCTACCGAGTCTCTTCCGTAACTTACCGTATAACCCAAACACATACTCCGTTGATGGAGACAACTCTTTTGGGGATGTGACCAACGACCACGCGAGACAAGTGTGCACAACGTGTGGGAAGTTAAAGGCGTCCGGCGGTCCGTTCGCTAGGCGACGCGACGCTAGGGCGCCAATAGCGATCGAAGCCACAGAAGTGCGTGGAAGTGGCTGACCCTCTAGCGAAATGGCGCCGTAACCACTAGACTTCTTTTTCAGCTTTCGGATTTCAAAATAGGATTCACAAGGATTAAATTTAGGAATTTCCATTTCAGTGACGATTGATAAGTACATTTTCACAAGTATCTTCTGCTTAACTTAAAACGGTCCCTGGTACATGTTCTATACTTAAATGGTACCTAACATTTTCACTAATTATTCATTATAAATATTCGAGTCTCAAATATTTACAATAAACTTCTCAAACTTCTCAAGATACTCAAACTAATTTCAATTTTTCTATCCCAATGTGTTATTATATTTATTAAAATCAATTATCAATCATTGACAAATGAGTGACAGACTAGTCATGTCTTTAATACTAAAATTATGCATTAAATAGATTCAATTTTTTTCGAGGTATTTTTTATTTTTTTGAAGAGATATCTTCAAAGACGTAAAACATATTTTTAAATTTATATCATACAAAATAAATGACTTTTATACTCCAGAACATGTACAAT